CAGGTTCCGGTGCATGTTTCCTGCTAACATCTTATTTTAAACTACCCAGCAAGTTCTTTTTTATGTATTGTAAACTGTTCTCTGTTATATTTTATATATATCAAATGTCAACCCACATTTCTGTTTCTGAAAGTAAAGTGTTTCCAACAGTTTGTAAAGATGGTATCACTTGTCTCTCATCTGTCAATCAAACTAACATAGGCCCCGGCTCTATGTGCCGGAAGACACTTGGGGGAGGCGTGGCTATTTGTGCCGTCTCATTCAGATCCGCCATTATGCGATCAGATGTGACAGCGGCATACTGGGGTTTCGTCCTTTGGTGCGCGCTGTGAAGAGAAATAGGTGCACACCGGCGTGATCACACAAAATGAGTCCGTCTGCAGCCCGTGGCAAACCATTTGCTAGTAGATCTTTGCAGGTACTTTTTAACTGCGCATCTTCAGCGGCATGCCACGGGTTGGCCATGGGTGCGCTACGCTTGCCAGATGTTGCAGTGTGATCGCACCCCGAAAATCTGCCCAGCATTCATGCCTTTCACGCGGCAAATTCGCCATGTGACTGGGGCCATAGTCAGTTTTACAGTGCTATCTTAAGCAGAGTTAACACCCTTTTAAATCCATTGAAGTCAGTGGGCTTAGAAGGGTATCAGGACTGTAGATAACCACCTCCCAAACTTTATTAATGCATAATTTATTTAAAACCTTTAATTTTTTTTTTAGTATTCAGCAGTCACTTTTTGACTGCTGTAAGAAGATGGAGAACCAGCTCCTTTATAGCCCCCAAAACCAAAATCATTTACAAATCCAAGGAACATAACCTTAGGGAATTTTAAAGCCCACCATACAAAGAACATCTTGAACAACTTTATTCCCCCAGATTCTGATATGGTAGCATGTGTTGGGAATCTGCAGACCTAGCTCCACATTTCCAACACCTGTGGTGATCATCAAAGTCTCCTAAGTAAACTCAGTAGTCAGGGATAAGAGGACAAGTCCTCTTGTGGATAAAAAACTGGTTAATTAACAGGAAACAAAGGGTGAGTATAAATGGGCAGTTTTCACAGTGGAAGATGGTAAGCAGTGGGGTACCACAGGGCTCAGTGCTAGGTCCAGTGCTTTTAACTTGTTTGTTAATGATTTGGAGTTGGGAGTAAGCAGTGAAGTGGCTAAGTTTGTGGATGACACTAAGTTGTTCAGGATGGTGAGAACCAGGGAGAATTGTGAAGCACTCCAGAGGGATCTGTCAAAGCTGGGCAAATGGGCATCAACATGGCAAATTAGGTTCAACATGGGTAAGTGCAAAGTAATGCATATTGGAGCCAAAAATCCTAACTATAAATATACATAGATGTGGTCCGAACAGGCGAAAAGAGATCAGGAGTCGTGGTAGATAACTCAGTGAAAATGTCAAGTCAGTCTGCGACTGCAATAAAAAAGACAAGTGCTATGCTGGGGATTATTAGGAAGGGAATTGAAAACAAATCAGCCAGTATCATAACACCCCTGTATAAATTGACCGTGCGGCCTCATTTGGAATACTGTGTACAGTTTTGGTCACCGCACCTCAAAAAAGATATAGCATTGGAAAAAGAGCAGAAGAGGGTAACTAAAATGATTAAGGGGATGGAACACTTTCCCTATGAAGAAAGGTTAAAGAGGTTAGGGCTCTTTAGCTTAGAGAAATGATGACTGAGAGGGTGACATGATAGAGGTTTACAAAATTATACATGGGATAGAGAAGGTAGAGAAAGACATACTTTTCTCCCTTTCTCACAATACAAGAACCCATGGGCACTCAATTAAATTAATGAACAGTAGATTTAGAACAGATAAAAGAGTAATTAACATGTGGGATTCACTGCCACACGAAATGCTGGTGGCTATTAGCATAAACAACGTCAAGAGGGGGTTGGATAAACTTATGGAGCAGAAGGCCATCAGTGGCTGTTGGCCACAACTAGGGATGAACCTCATCACGAACCTAAATTCATCATGAAAATTGCCTGGTTCATGAGCTAAGGGTCATGTGATTGTGTTTGCAACAAACCTCCCATGAACCTCAATGGTTTGTGTGGTTTCTGTCGGTGGTTCATGCAGCAGACACACTGACACCAATTAATTAATCGTAAAAGCAACTGGGGGGACTTCTGCAGTCCTTCCCCAGCCTTGGAAACACCAATAGTAGACCTCCAAAGCTTGACAGGTAGCACTGGCTGCCCAGAAGAGAGCTCCCATTCTGCTCTATGGGAGCAGAATGGATATATACCCCCAGCTCACATGTAGCTGTTTTTACTTGGCAGCAGGCCGTTAGGCAGAGAGGGAGTTAGAGACAGAAAAGAAAGGGAACTGGAAGTCATTCCTCAGTGTGAACAGTGGGGTGGGGGTGTTTTACTCAGGGTTCATGCCAAGCAAAGGGACTTAGCTTCATTGGTGCCTCTAGCTTGCAGGGGGTCTGTTCAACACACTCCTGAACCTGCGTCTGTGATTTCCCCAGAGAGCACTCTTGTACACAGGAGGGCTAGGGATTAGGGATGGGCACAAACTGAATTACGAATCAAAGTACACCACGAACTGAACCTGGTTCATGAGCCTCAGTTATTGTGACCGCATCTCCCATGAACCAAACTGTTTTTCACAGAGGTTTGTGGGAACAGTTTGTGGGTCAAACATGCTGTTGCCAATGAATCAGTTGTCCAGGCAACGAAGGGATCTCCTTCGTGGTCTCTGTGCAGGTCACACACCATGGGTTTCACGCTTGCGTTAAACCTCCGTCGGGAAGCCTAATAAGCTTTAGCGACAGCTTTCCAAGTGCGGAGTCCTCCCCAGTCTCGTGCAGCACGCACCATCTGAGCATGCTCAACAGCTACGGCGGACTCCGCCCCCACTCAGTTCTCTTTTAACCGCCTCCTGAGAAGACGTTTTTTCCCCGTCGTCTGGGGAAGCCTCCTCAACTGTAACAAAGTAACTGTTAATTGTCTTTTCACACATCACTAATTGCCCTGGGCAAGGGTCGGTCTATGGGACCCACGCCTTATTTTAAGAGGTGTCTGAGCTGTTCAGCGAATATCCCCCTAACGGACGGCCACAGCTGTTGCTTATAGACTTCTGTAGCCCTTTTTCAGCCCTGGAAACACGAATAGTGGTCCTCCAAAACTTGATTGGCAGCTCACCAAGAGAGCTTCCATTCTGCTCTATGGGAGCAGAATGGATATATACCCCCCAGCTCACACTCAGAAGCTTTCACTTTGCAGCAGGCAATTTGGCAGCGAGGGAGTAGTTACTGTAAGAGGCAAGGAGGGAAGAAAGGAATTGGAAGTCTGTGTGAACGGTGCTTCAGGGCTCTGAGGCACCACTCCCTCTGCTACAGCCGGGCAGAGGGGCTCAGCCAGTGGGCAGCCCGTGGAGGCCCTCTGTAAGTCTGATGTCTATAGCTTACAGGGGGTCCGTTTGATAGAGTCCTGATTCCTGAACGTGCAGCTGTAATTTCCCCAGAGAATACTTTCCTGGCGGCACCTGCTTTTGGGGGGGGCTGCTACTCATCCCCCCCCCCCAGCCAATCCTCACCAAACTTGGAGTGCAGCTAGAGGTTCATCCCAAGGAGGACCTCAGTGAGTTTGATGTCTCTAGCTTGCAGGGGGTCCGTTCAACACACTCCTAAGAGAGCACTTTCCTGGGGGCATCTGCTTGGGGGGGCTGTAATTCACCCCCCAAAGTCCAGTCCTCACCAAATATGGAGGGCAGGTAGAGGAGAGTTATCTGGATAATTGCTGCAGGTTTGGTGTTCCTAGCCCATAGGGGTGCTGTTCTACCATGCCATGAACCTCACAAACCATGAACCAGTTTGTTAAATGGAAAGGTTCATGGAGGTTCGTGGATCCGCAAACCCCCACGAACCGTGAACCTCCACAAACCTCAATTTTCCCAGTTTCTGCCCATCCCTAGTTTGGACACTTTTACACAATATGGAGACAGATCTATTAATCCTTGAACTGCTGAGGAATAGAGTAGTTTCTTTGTTTAAATGGCTTCTCTAGGATTTCAGGCTTAAAAAAAAAAGGTTAGTAGGCAATTTTAACTGAAGTCCTACAAATGAACAATTGATACCCCCCCACCCCCTTTGAGAAAGATGACACATGAATTTGGGCATGTAGTGTTGGCTTGTATTAACACAGTTTCATGAGATATTTTCAACTTGCACAACCATTCTGTCAGATTATAATGCACTTGTATGTATATTGTATTAATCTCCTTTCTTCTCAAAAATGTCCAAGGCAATTGTTAATATTGCATTAAATAGTGATGATAATTTAAACAGATCAAATATAATCAGAACTTTAAAATATATTTGTTACCCAAGAAATCCACAACAAGCCAATAGTAAATGATTTTTCAATCTGCACTGAAGTCATCCTCTGTTTTCCATATTCTTTCCCTAGTATAAGCATGGCTGTTGCAGTTGTTGGTATGTTCTCACTCAACTGACTTCTGGAAGACATCCGGCACTTATGATATGTGCCCCTACTGAAGCAAGCAGGACAACTTCAGTGCAGTAATCTTTGTGGTTATGACATGCCAGAGTAATTGTGTAAATTGGCCCTAATAGTGTTTCCAAAATGAGAAATAACATTGCATTCATTTGATAAAATGGGTGAGATATAGTGTCTAATGAAACCTGTTGGAGATGTAAGAGTGCAAAAATTGTGATTTTCATGTATGGTAGAGAAAGTTATAAAATTCCAGCAACAATGAAGGACAACACAGGACATAATCTACTGCTAAATTGTCAACAGCTGGGATAAAGAAAACACAGGGTTAATGTTAAGTGTCTTCATAATAGTTAGCACTGATCTAGCCAGCTGATGGAATACTTTTGGTATTTTATCAGAAAATTGGATGGATGTAGGGAATATGTAACACTCTTCTTATGATAAAGTTAACAAATAGTTTAAACAAGGAAGATATGGGTTTTTATTACTTATTGGAATGTTTCTTCAGATATTAAATTTTTGAGTAGTCTGTAAAATACGATAATATACTCAAGACCTCTTGGCGTATTATGACTTGTTTTGTGTTGTAATTTGTACTGAATAAAACAGGTATGGTCTTGGATTCTTTCTGGCCAAGAGGAGCCAGCAGGGGGCATCCAGGATCTGATGTTTCAGCCAATGGTACTCAGTAGGCTCCTGCATATATTCTTTTGAAAGGCAACAAGGAAGCTTTGGGAGTTTAACAGTCGGATAAAATACAGCACCCCAATATGTGGTTTATTCTCAAAGAACAGACATTCTGGAAGTGGCTCTCCATCTTGAGTTTCACAGCATGGAAATATTCATGATTTGGGGGATTCAGCTTTTCACATCTATTTCTTTGAAAATGCACCTGACTTTTCCAAACTTGATAAGAGACTTAACCTTTGCATCACGTTCTTTTGATGGGATCATTATCAGGCTAGTCTTTTAAGTGTTTCCATAACAGTATGGAACTAGCAGCTTCTTCCCTCTGCAGAGTAACGGTTGCAAGTAGAAACCAGGTGGGCCTTTGGATGGTTTCTTCCTGCCAGTCCATTGCCCCTTTCATCAGGTAGCAAATATATGGGAAGGGCCTGCAGGACTGTCTGCATCCCTATGACTCCACTTTCTAAACATGATCGTAATGGTGTGGAAAGAAGCCAGGAGGAAGACACTCCTGCGATATCATACAAAGGTGACTCCAGATTTCCCAGTGTATTGGCCACATTGTCACAGTCAACTATGTAAAATCAGATTGTAGTTCTGAAATTTTGATGGGGAGTCAAGACTTGTTTAAACAAAGTGACTACCACAAGATGACTCCGAGTAGCTAAATGCGTTACCCAAATAGGTGGTCTTCTATTTAATTGGGAGAATTAGCTTAAAGGAGACAAGAAGGGGGTAACTCGGGATCTCCCCCAATGTTTACAGAGAATATTCCCTTAGAGAACTCTCAAATGAACCAGGCTGGAGTTCAAACAGAAAGGTGTTTTTATTACAGAAGAAAAAAGAGCAAAACATACAAACAAAACACATAAGCTGACTAAAGAAAAATAGGGAGTAGTGAGAAGAGAGATTTTTGAGAAGGTAATATCTACCAGTCCGGAAGAATGAGGTCCACAGAGATCAGCTAAATGGCTTGCATTTCACAAAGAGAGGGGAGGGCCCACACGTAAGTGGCGGTGTATGGTAGGTGCCAAGAACACACACACACTAACTGCTGGCTGGGTGTGCTTGATATAAAAAAATTGTTCCCTGGAGCTATGCTTACGTGGTTACCCAAAAGACAATGCCTTGATTCGTTTTCTGAGGGTAAAGGATGTTTTTGTGAGAAGTTTAGTGGCTTCCCCAGAGATGCTGAATGGTTTCTGATGACCCTAGAGCACTGGACAGGGAACTGTGGAGTTTGGGAATTAGTGTTAATCATTACTTAATTAGGGTAATTGAGTAGAGGGAAAGCAAGGTTGGGTGTGGGTGAGATTAATTCAAGGTGAGGATACAGCTGTCTTGAGATTCCCATTGTTTCTAACTGCATATCTTTAGGGTGTGGAAGGGGGATGTCAGGTGGTCAGCTGCTGTGATTCACCTTCCAAGCATAGTTCCCAGGCGCTTACCTGGCCGGCATCCATTTTGTGTGCATTGGATCCATTTTGTTTGAATTTCAGGCCAGGCAAAATCTTTAGAGTTACGATTTTTGAAGGTGATATTAAAGAGGGGTTCCATAGCATTAGGCTGCCCTTCTGCTGAATGAGGGGCCGGACTGCTGACAAATGAATTGTTATGTGTATATGATTAATAAAAAACATAATCTATCAAAATGCCATGCCTGGTGCTTTCAGGTTCCCAGGAGAAATGGTCTACTCTGCAGAGGTTAAAAAGGCTTCATCTGTCAGTGATTCTTCATTTTTGACCCCCACATGAAAATAACTTGGGGAAATTAACTCACCTTAGAGGAGCATGCCTTCAGCAGCATTGGCTTAACTGTCCCCCTTTTGTTTGCAGGCCGATGTGAGCAGTGAAAGAGTGATAAGAACAGAAGATGGGGCATCATTAGCCAGGGTGAGTGGAGGAGCACAAACAAGGCCGGTTGCAGGTTTGGGGAGCGGTCCTGGACAAGATACCCACTAGCACCTTCCCATTAATGGCATTTCCCCTCCCCAACTTGCTATGGATATATGATTACTCTACCTGTCTCCTAGAGGGGGAATGCAGGGTAACTTTTTTCATGCTCTTTTAAGCCTCTTCACAGGGCTGTGGCCACCAGGGGGGATTTGGGGGCATTGCCCCCCACAGCTGAGTGCTGCCCCCATGAGAAAAAGTTTTTTAAAATATTTTTTTTTAAGTTAAGATATGTGTGGTGTTTCCAAAATGACCCCAGGTACAGTCAGGAGACCATCAGCCTCATTTTCTTTTTTCCAGGCCAAGAAACAAATAGGGACACGGGGGGGGGGCTGGAGGAAGACAGTAGCAAATTTCTAGAGTAGGGGACAGCTTTCCCCACGTGGAAACAGCCTTCTGGAGTGAAATTTCTGCTGGAAATTTTGTGATGTCACACCCCACCGGTTTCCCCGGTGGCCCCCCCTCGAGAATTTTCTGGCTACGGGCCTGGCAGAAGGGCTAAAAGGAGCTGGGGAGGCTCGGTTCTCTGCTCGCTCCAGGGTCTCTCTGGCAAGCATGTGCAAGGTCACTCCAGAAGCCCCAGCAACATCTCCAGGGTCCCTGGCACGATCACCCCATTTCCTGTGAAAGAACATCTATGGAGGCAAACAAGCAAGCAGCCAGTGGCAAGATACAGCAGCTGATGCCTGACTCAGTTAGCCTCTTGTCTTGGTGGTTAGAGAAGAGGAGGAGCAGGAGACACAGTGCTGCATGGAGGGTATAATCCTCTACAGGAGTAGGCCTCTTTGGAGTTACACTAAGGGGGATGGCAGGCAGGTGGCCAGGCAGACAAGGTATGCTTGTTGGGGGGCAGTGGGCACTCCTAGGGCAATGGGCCTCGGCAGCTGCCTGAAAATGCCAACTCTGATGGTGGGTCTCCAATGCAAACATAGCAACTCATTGTACAGAGTAGACAGACTCTGTGAGAAATCCAGCCCAGTGTTCTTTCTATCTCTCTCTTTTTGCTTGGAAGAGCTTGGTGTGTATGTTTGTGTGTGTGCATGACCATCAGCCTTTCCAGACTTGGGATCCATCTTTAACCAGTCAGCAACACAGGGCCCACTGAGCTAAAGGCAGGTGGCAGGAATCCTCATGAAATCACAGTCTTGTGACAGAAAGAAGAGACAAAGTCTCTGAACCTACCTGAGCTTAAATGGAGCTTTAATACCATTGAATGACCTTAGTTTGCTGCCCTGCTCCTCCTCATAGTGTGTGTGCAAAGGATGTATGGCACCTTTGCCCTCTACACATGCACACTAGCAGCAGGTCCTTCCAAAAAGCACCTGTGGGTCCCAACCCATGGATTAAAGATCACTAGCATAGTGGAGGTGTGCAAGATTGCTAGTAATTTAATAGTGGCATGATCTAACCACTATTTATGTGGTATTTTCTCTTCAGGAATATGGAGTGCCTTTCATGGAGACCAGCGCTAAAACTGGAATGAATGTGGAACTGGCATTTCTGGCCATTGCAAAGTGAGTAATGGGCTGTAGTAAGAAGGGATGGGCACGAACTGGGAAAATGGAGGTTCATTATTTGTGGGGGTTCATGAACCTCCATGAACTTTTCCGTTTAACAAACTGGTTTGTGAGGTTTGTGGCATGGTAGAATGGCCCCCCTGTGGGCTAGAAATACCAAACTCACAGTGAGTCTCCGGCTGACTCTCCTCTACATGCCCTCCAAGTTTGTTACGGATTGGATTGGGGGGGGGTGAGCGTAGAACGAACCCCCTACAAGCCAGAAACATCAAACTCACTGAAGATGTCCCCGGGATGCCCCTCTACCTGTCCTCCAAGTTTGGTGAAGATTGGCTGGGGGGGGGGCAAGTAGCAGCCCTCCAAAGCAGGTGCCCCCAAGAAAGTGCTCTCTGGGGAAGTTGCAGCCGCAGGTTCAGGAATCGGGACTCTGTCAAACAGACTCTCTGCAAGCTAGAGGCATAAAACTCATAGAGGACCTCCACGGGCTGCCTACTGGCTGAGCCCCTCTGCCCGGCTGTAGCAGAGGGACAGGTGCCTCAGAGCCCTGAAGCACCTTCACACAGACTTCCAATTTCTTCCCTCCCTGCCTCTAACAGTAACTACTCCCTCTCACCTAATTGCCTGCTGCAAAGTGAAAGCAGCTGAGTGTGAGCTGCGAGTATATATCCATTCTGATCCCATATAGCAAAATGGCAGCTCTCTTGCTGGCAGCCAGAGCTGCCCATCAAGCTTTGGAGGGCCAGTATTGGTGTTTCCAGGGCTGAATAAGGGCTGCAGAAGTCCATCCCCCCCCCATTACCTGGACAATCGATTCATGGTGCTAGCATGTCTGACCCACAGATTGCTTCCCACGAACCTCAAGAACCTCTGTGAAAAACAGTTTAGCCCATGGGCGGTTTGCAGGAGATGCGATCGCACGAACTGAGGCTCGCAAACCACAAACCAAGCCCAGTTCATAATGAATTAAGATTTGTAATTTGGTTTGTGCCCATCTCTAGTAGTAAATTATGAAATTATGGCAATGTGTATAGCATAATGTTGGCTCACCTAGCTGTCAGTGAATGAAACTCACTCATGAGAGATGTAGGCCCACTTTCTATGCCTTGGACCAAGCACATGATGTGGCACTGCCCATCATCCCCCTTAAGTTGTCAGCAGTGTTCCCTCTAAGCTGAGTTAGTGTGAGCTAGCTCACAGTTTTTTAGCCTCCGGCTCACACATTCTTTGTCTCCGCTCAGGAAGGATGGCTCCAGAGCAAACTAAGTTATGCAGTAATCAAATCACTTGCTCACAACTTTAATGCCAGTAGCTCAGAAAGTAGAATTTTTGCTCACAGGACTCCACAGCTTAGAGAGAACATTGGTTGTCAGTGTTGCTGACTACCCTAAACTAGTGGACCACTTGCAACGGTCCCTCTGATGGTGGACCAAGTAAGACTCAAACTTTCATTCTTCAGAAATGTATGGCAGTTCCGCACATGGTCATAATTTTATAGATGTCCCATTTCTCCCACTGCATCAACTTCAGTTGTCTTTTTCTTCTGAACTGAACCCTTCCTTCCACCAACTCCATCAATAACTCCAGCCTTTCCTTTTGTAGAGAAAAGGGCTCCAGTCTATTGACCAATTTCATTCCCCTTTTCTTGTGCTGCCTTTTTGAGCAACCAGCACAAGATATGGCAGTATCATAGATTAATGCAATGACGTTAGGATACATGCTGTTTGGTTTTCAGTCTTTCTCCTAGTACTTATAATTCTGAAATAGATCACATAGATCACTGAGTGGATGTTTTCACTGAACTTTCCGTTATGTCCCCCAATACTTTTCTCTTAGGTAGATGCAGAATAATTTGAGCCTTCATTCTATGTTATGAGGATTTTGAGTCTCGGTGTATACAACTCTGAGTGGACTGACATTGAATTTCCTCTTTTGTCTCATTGCCAGTCAACCAGTTTGGAAAGATCTTTTTAGAGCTCTTTGCCATATACAATTTGTGATCAAACATTCAAGAAAGTGGTCTAAGATGATGCTCAGGGCCCTAGTTAATAGAGTAGGTGGCCGTAGCTGTCACCATCTTGTTTTTTTGTGTGGTGTTTAGATCGTTGTGTTTGTGGCTAACATGAAATATGTTGCTATAAGCCAAATAATTCTTGTACTCA